CTAGAAATGTGGGTTCCTGGATTGCCCCAGATTTCCCTGAAGATGACGAGCTTCTGGCCTTTCCACCAAGGAATAAATAAATCATCTGGGAAACGTGGGACTCTGGAGCTTTAGAGAGGGGTGTGTGTGTGTGTGTGTGTGTGTGTGTGTGTGTGTGTGAGACACCAAGACAGCACAGAGTGGAGGTGGACCATGACTTTCACTGGAGACACCTGGTGAAAGGTTAAAGTTTAAGGCAGTGACCACCACGTGTTGCTTGTTTCTGTCTAGCAAAGCAACACGTGGTGGTAATCAAAACACCTGGTTGATTGTGTGCCTATGTAAGACCTGCAAACCCTTAGCTCGGGGCTCGCCTAGGCTCCGCTGTGTCGGAGTGTAGGATGAGGCCCGAGCTGCAGCCCGTTTAAAGTAAACAGCTGTAGAGTCTGACTCTCGGTGGTCTTCTTGGTGGGGGGGGGGGTCCTGCGACCTTGGAATAACAGTCGGAGCAGGTCATGAAGTAGCAGGTGGCCCCTGCAACAGGCTCCTAGGGACCCTCGAGTGGGAAGCACTCAGGCTTCCAGAGGGGCCGGTTGTAAGGGCTGAGCAGATTTAGACCGGTTCCATCCGGATCAGACTGGTTTAAACTGGTTTGATCCGGTTCAGTCCAGTTCGGTTCATAACTATTTAATCCGGTTCACTGTAGTTCAAACTAAAACTAGTTCGATCCAGTTCAAACAGGTTCAGATCTTTTAAACCGGTTTGATCCGGTTTCAAACTCGTTTAATCTGGGTCGATCCAGTTTAAACCGGTTCAAACCCATTTAATCCAGTTCAATCCGGTCTGATCCAGTTCAAATCGGGTTGAACCGGTCCCAACTGGTTTAATCTGGGTCCAAGCAGTTTGGTCCAGTTTGATCTGGTTCAAACCGGTTTGATCCAGTTCGATCCTGTTTAGTCTGGTTCAATCCGGTTCCAATCGGTTCTGTCCGCTTCCCGGTTTAATCCAGTTCAGACCTGTTTAATGCGGTTCGATTTAATGAAGAGTAATTGAACACCTTTGTGGCGTTACCATGTAGGGCAAGCAGAGACCCGAAGCTTCCTTGGCAAACCCTGGCTTCCTGTTACCTCGCCTGCCTGAGGCCGGGCCCTGTCTCCCCCTGCTGGACCAACACACAATGGCAGCCTGAGTCCTGGAAGCTGGCCTGGGGCAATGATCCGACCCGCTGGGTGAGCTGCCCCAAGGCCTAGCTCCCTCCCCGGCCCTGGTCCCTCCACTGGGCAGCATTTGGTCACAAGCGCTCACTGTGAGTTGAAGAAAAGCCTGTGAAATAAATGTAAGAACACAGAGCCAACGGGAAATCCCGGAGTCGTAAGTAGGGCCAGTGGCCTTTTTTAGGCAGAGCAGTTTGACTTTAAGATCTGCCTAGATCCTCGGAATATAAGGTAATTTGCGCAGAGGAAAATCTGGCCCACATGAATTTGTGTGCCCGCTTCTTAACTACAAAGGCACGGTCTTGCAGTGCATTGCTAGAAAAAGAACACTCAAAGCTTACCTAAATCGAAGCTAAGCTCCAAAGCTTCCAACACAATTAATAAATCCAACACATTAATGAAAGATAAAATCTCTTGTGTTTAAACACTCTGAAATGAAGAGATAAACAATGAAACAACAAAATCCTTTCTAGACTGGAAAAAGAACTTGGAAATGTGTGTCTTGTGGACACTGTGTTGGCAAAAACAATGATTATTTATATAAAATGAAGAAATTAATACTCAGAAGGTCAAGTCTCACAATATTTCTTTCCATTTGAAAAGCACACACGCCTTTGAGTCAAGAAAGGAGAGAAAGTCATACACAGAAGTATTCAGGAACTTGCTATCATTCTGCCACATGCTATTTCCTTTCTCAACAATTAGTTTTTCATAGGCTTTGTGAAAGACAATGAAGCGATTGGGCTGGGAAGGTGGTTCAGCAGTAGAGCACTTGCTTTGCATGCACGAGGCCCTGGGTTTGATTCCTCAGCACCACATAAGCAGAAAAAGCCAGAAATGGCATTGTGGCCCAACTGGTAGGGCGCTAGCCTTATGCTGAAGAGCTGAGGGACAGCACCCAGGCCCACAGTTCAAGCCCCATAACCAACAACAACAACAAAAAGAGAGAGAGAGAGAGAGAGAGAGAGAGAGAGAAATGAAGGCCGAGACTTTCTCAAGCAGAGTGGGCAGATTGCCTTTAACTCCTGCTAAGGGTTAAGCCACAGAATGTTCCAGCAGACTTGGATAAAGAATTAAAAATAGTATCTTCCTCCTTCTATATCTTTCAGTTTTGAGTACTCAGTTTTAATTAACCAATCAAATAGGGTCTACCCTTCAGCACTTCTGCCCAGCTAATGGTTTGCCTCCAAACAAACCACTGTGGGCATCCCTTAGTGAGACTCTTTCTGCACTTGCCTTACTGAAGCTATATTGACTCAGTGTAATACACTGCCTGAACTTTGGGAGCTGAGCATGCCCTGGCAATAAGTAGGCTATAGAATATGTGTACATTGCCTAAGAGGGTATAGAGGATTGTATCCATTTCGGAAGGGCTACTGAGAAAAATGGACCAGGAACCTGTCTGGGGGCAGTCTTTAACTCCAGCAGCACACAATTGGCTATAATGAACCTCATGGACAGTAATATAAGAAGCCAGAAGAATAAAATGCACTGGGTTCCTAAGTCCTTGCTGATCTTCTTTAGAGAAACACATTTGGGCTATCAAAGTTGGAAGAGCTGTAAAAGATAATTGAATATAAGGAATTTCAGTAGTTTACTGGTTTATGGATTGGTCTAATAGTGACTACATTGCAGGACCACTCTTACTTTTTTTTTTTTTTGGGGCCCGGTCGTGGGGCCTGAACTCTGGGCCTGGGCGCTGTCCCTCAGCTCTTCAGCTCAAGGCTAGTGCTCTACCACTTGAGCCACAGCGCCACTTCCGGCTTTTATTTTTTGCTTATGTGGTGCTGAGGAATCGAACCCAGGGCCTCAGGCATGCAAGACAAGTGCTCTACCACTGAGCCACCTTCCCAGCCCAGGACCACTCTTATTAAGGCAACAATTCTTAACTGTCCCCACTGTGGGTGCATGCAATAGGATTGTGTGGATCACACAGTATGATTCCTTTCAAACTATTTGCTTAATCCTTTTTAATCTTGCCTTAGTCCTTCTACTGGTGTGGGCACCACGGTCCAGTTGGCCTTTGCCCGAAAGCTATGTTGCAGAATGACTTTCTAATTCCAAGTGCTTGTCAATTTTCTTGTCTTACTGTTTGGAGACGAGAACCAGTTTCTCTTTCCTATCCTAACCAGTGTGAACATTAGGAGCTGCCTGTATTCTTCGGTTCAATTTGCTGTACACACTGGCCAGTTATATTCGGAGTTTACCAATATGAATAGCAACCATTTGTACTATTAACATTCTAGCAATAAACCTCTTTCCTCAGAGACACGAGTGTAATAGTACATTTCTATCTTCCAAGTTATCTCAGGTAAGAATGGTGTCTGACACATTTTTTGACTGTACAGTATGTGTTGTCATTTCCTCAGTTTCCTCTAATGGAAACATTTTAGGATTTTTTTCATAGCAGAACTCCAACTTGAAGTGTAAATGTCTGACTTAGTCAGTTTTTTGCTCTCATGTTAACAACTCCAAAATACCAGGGCCTTTTGAAAACAAATGCTTGGAGAACAAGGAAGAGGTGGCATTAAGGTGCATTGTACTCACAATTTGACTTTTTGAGTTGAAACCCTTTGACAACTACTTAAAACAAAAAACTGTTTTCTTCTTTTTAGTCGCTTTTTCAACAAGCGTTTGAAGTTAGGAGCTAAGATTGGCTATAGGTTTCAAGTGTAGAATGTTTTATGGTTTCCTTTATAGAATGATTTCGTTGTATTAAATTATTTCATTGTATTATCTCCAAATAGTTCATGGTTTTGGATGCCGTTGGAAGTACAGTTGATGTAACACTCATTGCTGGTGTATAAAAGTAAACTTATTCACATATTGTCATTGTACCTTGGACTTTAAATTCAGTTATTAGTCCTAGTAGATCTCTAAGGCTATGTCCATGATCAGTCATGGGCCAATAAGACAACTCTAACTGTACTCTTCCAACTCATTGTTTTTTTTTATTTAATTGCCTGATTGCAGTGGCCAAAACTTGTTCAGAACAGACATTTATGATTTGTTTGCTATCTTAGGTAAGAAGTATTGGCATTTTCACCATTGAGTTTGATGAAAGGTGCATTTAATTAACTTTTCTTTAATGGTTTACTCCAATGCCTGCACATAGTGGAAACTGAGGTTTTTCTGAATATCTGAATCAGGACAGGTCTTGGTGGTTCGATAGGTAGAGCAGGCCCTCATATTTAACAAATGAAAGAGTAAGTAGATATGTGCCTATTCCTAGAATTTTTAGGAGCGGTTAAAGAATTTCTTAATATTAGAAACTATTAGAAAAGATTAGATACTAATATTAGAAACGTGTTGATCTTGCTCATTGTGATGACTGTGGTGAGACTGAAATATTTCCTTGTTATTAGAAATACATTGACGTATTCACAGTGAAATGTCACGAAACACATGGAATTTGCGTTAAAGAACTTTACCATCAAGAAGAAACATCCATTGGCAACATCATTGCTGTCAATCAATATAACAAGATCATCATTGTTAACCTAATTATGTGTATGTTCCAATCTGGTCTAACATCTAAAATGTAATTGGCAAATTACAATATATGAAGAAGTTAGAAATGAATGTGATTGCCATTTGGGAAAGCAATGATACTGTTAATGCTTCAACAGGAGAGGATATGACATGCCTAAGTATAATATAGTTTAATTTAAAAGTAAAACTAATTCATATGAGGACAAACGATATCATCCTGAACTACTTAGAACAGGCAAGAAGGGAACCTCAGATAGGGAAATAAAATATTTGCACTTAAGAAAGTAAGTGTCCAGTACAACATGAGACCGAAAGTATGATTATTTATTTCTATTTAGGGAAAAATAAATATTTCTTTACATAGTCTTCTTGAAATCTTCTCATTATACATGTAAAATCAAAACATTCACTGACATAAATAAAAAATAAATTAATCTGAACATTACAAAAGAATAAGATTTACAATTTGGCTAGAAATATCTCACTTTAGAATTACAGAATCCTTGATGTTGTCGTGAAAACATCTTTCATAAGACTCTCTGACTGGAGAAAACAAGAACAAAAAGTGGGGAAAGGATTATTCTGAGAACAAAACTGCAGCGCATTCATTTTTACAACAGTGGGACAGATTCCTGGTTTATTATTTGTTTGTGTCCCAAGAACACTTTCTTACCATGTACTCTTCCTAGGCCAACAACTAAGGCAAAAAAAACTGCCACAAAAACCAAAAACACAACACTTCTGATTCATTACTATGTTTTTCTTTTCTCCAACCAATTTGGACTTATCTTAACGGAATAAGAAAATGTCACCCATTAAAATGTAGTTTGTCTCTTCCTGGCAATGTGTAAGAAGAGACTAGATTACATTTTTTTTCTTTTTGCTAACTAATTACTGTAGTTTTCTGTTTATCAGTGAAAACCACATTACACATCTAGTGAAAAACAAAACACATACAACCCATTTGCTCATGCTCCTGTCCTAAAGATGAGTCTCCAGACCCTTCCCTCCATTTTTAGGAAAGTGATTTCTGCCAATTCTGTGGGGTCTATTTCCACTCATGCTGGCATGCTACCATTTGAGCCACATCTCCAGTTCTAGAGAGTTCTATTTTCAAATGTCCTTAGGTCCACTGAGAATGAGATCCCAGACCACTGCCTTCTTGCTTCATTACTACTCCTCACCTACCTTAAAGACAATGATAACGTGCAAAACAAAGAGAACTACTGCATTTATTATATCCTCTCCTCCAAAAGATTCTAACAAACTAGAAGTATTCTCTGTCTTCGTGTGTACTTTCTTCTGAACTCTTCTTTGGTTAAGTCAGCTAGCCAAGGATTACTAGCGTCACAAGCAAAACTGTCAGTGTGACCCATGTGTGCCCTGAAAGTTAAAAACAAAAAGTCAAAATCAAAGTAATTTTATTTACTGATGATAAATACCAATTTTTCAGTTGCTATGTGATCAAACCTAAAAAAAAGAATTGGTTAATTAGGGGTATAAAACAAATGTAATATTAGTAAGTTAGAGTACGGTCATTCTGCTGTAGGTATATTAATAGCCAATTAAAGCTGTTTGCTTTTAATTTCTTAGACTTAGTAGCCAAAAGGTAGAGTCATGTAAGATACTTTTAGATTACAGGTCAATGAGACGTCTCTGGATAGTAAACAGGAATACAGGAAAAGATTCATCAAGAGATTAAGACACTTAAAAAGTTTCAAAAATACATTTACATCCATTTATTTTTGTGTGAAGACATAAAAGATATGGTAAGATCTATAGCTGGGTGTGCCTAGCACTCAGGAGGCTGAGGCAAGAGGATCATAGTATGAGGTCAGCCTGGGCTATACAGAAAGATCCAAGGAAGGAAGGAAGGAAGGAAGGAAGGAAGGAAGGAAGGAAAAGAATAAAACCTGGCAGGAGCTGGTGGCTCATACCTGTAATCCTAGCTACTCAGGAAGCTGAGATTTAAGGATCACCATTCAAATGGGATATCAGGAGAATATCCAGGTATATATAGTTAGTTCTTACCCTCAACAGCTTATACTTTGGAATACGTCTATCTTTAAGTCAGTCTGTCTATCTATTATCTACCTACCTACCTACCTACCTAAAGGGGAACTCTTTCCTAGGGATATCCATGAATTTTTCCTGTTTGATCCATTAAGCAACTGGCCTCATTGAAAATCCTCAAATACAATGCAAAATAAACACGCCTACATTCCAGCACTTTTCATCCTATTGAAAATATCCTGGAAAATTATGTTCCCAATGTACGGAAATTGATAAAATCCAATAGGGAGCCCCCAGTCAACTCATCAAATGCCGCATCTCCTGATCCGTGTTATCCCGCAGTGCGGGCTCTGGCAAACGGATAAAGCCCTAGAAATCCATCATTTGTAATCTGACAAATCCAGCGAGTAACAATAAAAGTAGCTGAAATGAATGGCAAAATGCATAAAATTGTTATTTTTTTTCAGAGTAGATTTGCTGAAATATCTGTACCCGCTTTACTCACTTTATATAAATAAGGACCATTCATTTTGTTATTAGACCCTAATCTACGTTCTCAAGCAGTCTGAAAAATGCTAGCTGAGCCAGGCGCCAGTGACTCACGGCTGTAATCTCAGATGCCCAGGGAGCTGAGATCTGAGATCATGGTTCCAAGCCGGCCCTGGCAGAAAGGTCCCCAAAAGACTCTTAGCTCAATGAATTACTAATCAAAAAATAAACTACTCAAAAAAGCCGGCAGTGGCTCTTTAGCTCAAGTGGTAGAGTGTTAACCTTGAGCACAAAGGGGACAGTGCCCAGGCCCTGAGTTCAAGCCCTAGGACCCAGAACCAGAAAAAAAAAAAAAGAAGAAAAGACAGAGAAAAAGGTCTGAAAAAGTGACATCATACTACATTTGCTAAACTATTGTATTGGGATTTAATAAATCCTTGTAAAAGCCTGTTAACCTTCTCTGTCTCATACCTAGGATCCCCTCACCAATTTTTTTTAACCAAAAGATTGAGCTATTTATTGTTTTAAAATGTTCTTATTCTGTATTTGAGCTATTATTAATTTAAAGAGAGAGGAAGGCATTAATAGAGGGCAGAAATGAGACAGTCTACATCAGCCAAAAACTTTAAACTTGTAGAGAAAACATTAAAATGTAGTTGTTCTGATTAATTAGTGGGAAAAATGGATAAGCATTAGGGCCAATGAGAAGTGAATCAAGTTTGTGTGAACTCTACAATCAGATTGCTGGACAATTAAAACTACAAAACAGAGCAGGTGCACTTAAATCAACCTGTTGTGTTTATAGTGTTCAACAGAACCTAGCATGACATTTATAATTCATAGACGGACTCAAAAAGAGAACACTTATTTCAAATACTACTGAATTCCACTCCCCACCTCCGTTGCTGTCTTAACCTAAGTGTTTACTGTTTGTCAAGCAATGTTCTAAACTCTGATGGGGGGTCCTTCCCATGAGGAAGGTGTGACAGTTCCCCAGGTGATACATTAAATAAACAAACAAACAAACAAAATCCCTAAAGCCTAGAGAACCTAATCTGCTGTCACTAGGCTTGTGAATCAGAGACTCAGGATTTTAACCCAGCACTTGCACCCAGAGCCTAGCTTCTTAATTCCTGGGCTGTGTTTGGCTAGACTGGTGCCTATTAGTAAATATATTGCAGAGAAATGCTTAATCACAGACAATGTAATAATGCTAGAGGTTGCTTTTTTCTAGATTTCTTTCCTTCTCTACAGCTATTATTAAAATATCAAAAAAGAATAGGTAAGCATATCATAAAGACAGACTCTGGCTTTCGAATCATTTTCCTTTGGGATGCTGTTGTTACTGTCCTTAAATAGTCTGAGGAAAAAAAATTCTGTTCTACCAGGACAGTAATTACAGAATGAAGAAATGAAGAGACAGTATTCCAAAAATGAGATAAAGCTAGGAGAGTAAATTACTGATATAACAGTAACTCTTTTTTTTTGTTTTTTTGTTGGTTGTGGGTCTTGAACTCTGGGCCTGGGCACTGTCCTTTAACTCTTCAGCTCAAAGCTAGCACTCTACCACTTGAGCCACAGCACTGCTTCTGGTTTTCTGATGGTTAATTGGAGATAAGAGTCTCATGGACTGGGCTGGGAAGGTGGCTCAGTGGTAGAGTGCTTGCCTTGCATGCATGAGTCCCTGGGTTCAATTCCTCAGTACTACATAAGCAGAAAAAGCCAGAAGTGGCACTGTGGCTCAAGTGGTAGAGTGCTAGCCTTGAGCAAAAAGCTCAGGGACAAAGCCCAGGCCCAGAACTGACAAAAAAAATAAAAAAAAAGAGTCTCACAGACTTTCTTGCTTGGGCTGGCTTTGAACTGTGATCCTCAGATCTCAGCCTCCTGAGTAGTTAAGATTACAGGTGTGAGCCACCAGTGCCTGGCTATAATAGTAACTCTTAAAAAGAAAAGCTAAGAATTATTTTTTAAAAAATCATCCGAATTTATGATCACACTGAAAAGCCCACAGTCCCAGAAAGTTCTGACTACAGTTATACCAGTTATTAAAATCTTTGAGAGGACAAATTTGGTAACACAGTTAATAGGAACCTAAACAAGTTCAGCTGTACTCCAGTTTGACAATAATAATACATAGTGGTTAAGAAAAGAGACAGGAATTGCATTTTGTACATGGCCCCCTTAGGCCACAAGGTCCACAGTAAATGCTATACTATTGTCCTGTCTTCTCTGGAAGAAAAAACAATATTGAAAGTAGCACAGTGCCCAAATACAAACTTGGGACAGGTTTGGGAAGAGTGTACAGTGTTTTAGCACAATCACAAATAGCATTTATCACAGGAAAGATCCCTGTACTCTGGTGAGACTAGAGGGAGGAAATATTTGACCTGTAGAATATGATTTTCTATGTTCAGATTTTCTAGGTTATAGTAGATGAAATTTCATTGACCCTTAAGACTACAAGGCACTATTTTGAGCTGAGCAAGGAAAAATAAAAGTCAGTTAAGCTGTCCAGACTAACTTTTATACTGTGTTTTCTTTTTCATCCTAGGAGTCAAACCCAAAGGCTTGAGCATGCTCAACAAGCAGCCTACCAATGAGCTATATTCTCAGTCCCTGGTTGTTTTTTTAACACATAATTTTTCTTTTCAAAATCACTAATACATCTCTGCCCTTTCCCTCAGCATTTCTTTCTTTTCTTCTGTGTCCTAAACACACACATATACCGCCCCCCACAAACCCCCACAATCCCTAGACTCACGTCTTTGATCTGTACTATAAAGGAAATTAGAGATGACAATAGAAATGCAGTTGAAGCTAATGGACTAAGGACTGCATGTGGTTCCAAACTAGAAGAGAGATACTGCATAACTGCATTGTCATTTGGATGCATGATTAAAAACCCCCTGGCCATTTCCACAATGGGCGTGTCGTAACTGTATTTTACCCAATCGGTATTTTCAACACATCCCCTAGCATTGTATTGTTATCTCAGAAAGACAATACATGAAATTCTGTTTCTCCTTCTCCTATGAGCTCCCATTAACCTCACCAATTTAACTACATCACTTGGAATTAGAACAAAAAAGTAATTCAAAAGCAACACAGAATATCAAGATAAGAAAAATAAAAGGCTAACTAGCACATGCATGGATGTAATTCTCAAAGTTTGGGGAGGTTGGTAGTTTAACAGAATACCAGAGCAAAACATAGAAATATGAAAAACAAAGCTTTACAAAGATTTTCAGTAAATAAAAAAAGGCTCTGCCTCTAAAATGAAAAATCCTGAAGTTTTCAGGCATAAAGGCAATAGTTTGTGACCTCAAAATTCACTTGATATCTACAGAAACCAACTTAAAGACAGTGTAAACTTAAGATTTACGCAACGTGGGATAAATGGAAGTATAAAATTACGAATGAAATGGATACTGTTAAAGGTTCCTAATCATCAACTATGCTCTGAGGTAGGACAACTTACATAATTTTCAGAAATGAAATTCTCTAATATAACGGGGTATTTTAGTCAGATTCCTTACTATGACGAACTACATTAGTGTAGTGTTTAGAACACTATACAACAGTTGGCCAAGGGATATGGCATTTGGTCACCTTCAAAGTGTTTCGTGAATATTTATTAAATTTCATTGAATGCTACTATTTTTGCAGATGTGCAAACTAAGAACCAAAAAAGATGAGTTGAATAATTTATTGCCACAAAAAACCTCTGGTGGCATCCACCTGTAATCTTAGTACTTCAGAGGTGGAGGAAGGATTGTGAGTTTAAGCCCAGCCTGAGCTACATAGTGAGAGCCTGTCCCAAAAATGAAGTTTACATGCATGTTTTATATATAATATGCATAATATATCTGTAAACTATACAATACTGTATATACCACAAAAATAATATATGCTACTGTATATAGTACTTTTGTATATACTAGTATAATACATTTATATGTTAGACATACTTCACATATATATACTATATGCTATAATATATAGTACATAGTATATACTATATATATATATATATATATATATATATGGTGAGAGAGAGAGAGAGAGAGAGAGAGAGGCAGAAAAAGAACCATTTTCATTCTCCAGAACCCAAGTGGGAATTCTATCTACAAGAACTGGTGTCCACTGCATCATGTTTGTCTCCTTTCCTGAAGAAATGTGGATTTTCCAAGTCACTTCAAAGAAGCCACACTTGCGTATCTAGCAAATTGGGAATGCTGTCCATGTGATAAGAAAGACCAAGAAGGAAAAATAGAAAGAAAGAAAAAAGAAATAACCAATGCTTTGGTGTTAGAGGCACGGTTCAGTTGGTAGAGTGCTAGCCAATGGGCCAATGTGTCAGGTACGGAGTCCCAGTCTCCCATAGGAAGAAAGAAAAAAGAAAAGAAAGAAAGAATGAGAAAGAAAGGAAGAAAAGAGGAGGAAGAGAAAGGCCATAAAAGATGCAAATAGGTTTCATTTTTAATTATAATCATACTTCAGAGAACAGAATAAAGAGCTTGTGGACAAATCATGACTAGAAAGAGACGAGGGAAAAAGAATGTGATCAAGTAAGCCTACATTTTCAGATTCATGAATGTAAGACTCAATACTTTTTCCTCTGAGCTACCTGCCTTGCCATGATCATTGGATTTTCTGTCTCTGTATTTCTTCCAGTTTTTATTAGTAGAGAATCAAGGCAACCTCCTTATTTGATTGTATAGTCTCTCCCCCGATAACTACCACAGCCATGTCCACTACTAGAGACAAGCCATTGGTCTCTGTTTACTGTCTACTAGCTCTGCAGTCTTGAGTAGTTGAAAACTGAACAAAAACTATGTTGTTTTAGCTGAAAAAGGGGGAGTGAATGCTACATTCCAATATTTCTGTGACAGCAAAAAAAAAAAATACATACAGAAATTGAGTATAGTACTTACCACATAGGAAACATGCCTGAATATATTGCCTGAATATGGAACTGTTTTGTTTGTTTTATTCATTATAGTAGCAGGTGTGTGTGGGAAGGGGGATTGGTTGGGTGGTGGTGTGTATGTATGTGTTATTAAATTTTCAAGATCCATCTCAGGAAAACACCAGTGACTTCGTGCTTAGACTTCTCAAAGCTAACACTGATTCAACTTTTGGCACTGTGCTAGGAGTTTCCAACCCATTTTCCCATTAAACTTCAAAGACTTTACATAGGAGTTATAGTCTGTCTTGTAAGATCGAGGAAATGTATTTGAGTCAGTTGGGATGAGTATTTGCTAAATGACAAAGCCAGATTCAAGGCAAGTTCTGACTGAGTCCAGAGCACAAGATCTTTGCTCTTCTTCTACATACTACTGACTTGAGAAATGATTCCACTAAAACCTACACAGAAGATGTATGCTTAGTGGGGTGATGCCCGCAAAAGATGAACACATTTTTACTTTTTCATATGTATAAAATACACTAAAGAGAGAGGAGGAGGAGGAGGAGAAAGGAGGAAAGAGGGAAAGGAGAGGGAAAGGAGGAGGGGGGGAGAGAAACAGATTTATAGGATATGATAGTAAAATCCCATGGGGGGATGATTAGGGGAATCATGTCTAAACAAGTCCTTGGCAAATGGGAATTGAGAGGGGGGGAGAGAGAAGGGGAGAGAGGGAGAGGGAGAGGGGGAGAGAGGGGAAGAGGGGGGGGAGAGAGGGGGAGAGGGGGAAGAGGGGGAGAACGCTAGTTGAGGTAATCTTTAAAATTGCCAACACATGTCATTTATAAGGCAATTTAGGTAGCAAGGTCTGTGTCCTTCTTTCTTACCATAATTAAACAGGAAAAATAAATAATTATATTTGTAATTCATCTGCATCATTTGCTTACATTATAGAATAATCTGAAACAACTTCATTTAAATCGTTTCCTAACCTTTTTTTTTTTGCCAGTCCTGGAGCTTGAACTCAGGGCCTGGGCACTGTCCCTGAGCTTCTTTTGCTCAAGGCTAGCACTCTACCACTTGAGCCACAGTGCCAATCTGGCTTTTTCTGTTGATATGGTGCTGAGGAATTGAACCTAGGGCTTCATGCATGCTAGGCAAGCACTAAGTTGCATTCCCAGCCCCCTAATCTTTAAAAGTGAAAGAATGACCTGATTTACAGAGGAACTTTACAAAATAAAGATAATTTTCAGGCTTATGTCTTGTAAGATCCTCCCCCAATCCTGTTAGGATTATGTCTGTTTTAAAAAGAAAGAAGCGCTCTGGGGAGAGTTTCCTAAAAATCACAGGTATAAACCTAAAGAGCTTCAGCGAGAGAGAAAAATAAACAGTTCTGTCTGGGGATGTAGCTTAGTAGAAGAGTTCTTGCCTAGTATGCACAAGACCCTGGGTCTAGCACTACAAAATATATAAAGAAATAAAATTCTTCATTTTATTATTTCTTTAATAATAAAATCAAAAGACTGAGTGTGGTAACATTTCTGTAATTCCAGCTATTTAGGAAGAGGTGGAAAGATTTCAAGCCAAGGCTGAACAGGGCAAAAGAGTGAGACCCTATCTAAAAAAAGGAAAAGGGGCTGTAAAAGAGGTGTATCTTGGGCTGGGAAGGTGGCTCAGTGGTAGAGCACTTGCCTTGCATGCTTGAGGCCCTGGGTTTGATTCCTCAGTACCACATAAGCAAAATGAAAAAAGCCGGAAGTGGCGCTGTGGCTCAAGTGGTAGAGCGCTAGCCTTGAGCTGAAGAGCTAGGGACAGTGCCCAGGCCCAGAGTTCAGGCCCACGACTGGACCCCCCCCCCAAAAAAAGAGATGTATCTCAAGTGCTAGAAAGCATGTAAGGTTCTGAGTTCAAACTCCAATACTGATACACAAACAAACATGCATTACACCTTCACTAAAGGATACTAGGCAGGTGAAGATTCACCTATTAAACTCATCCCTTTTATGAACATTAAATCATTAAATCATGAGATTGTTTTTCATTTAGAATACATTTATTTCTATTTAAAATATAGAATAAACAAACTGAATTCCAACTGCTGGAATTTTTCAAGATAAGTCTTAAATATAAAATAACCATGTTAGATAACAGTAAAAACAATATAAATAAAATATCTGTGATAAAATATCTGTTTCCAGGTTTATTGCCTCTTGGTTAATTCATGCATACAGAGAACGGGGACTTCACTGGTAAGTGAAGTGATCAATGAAAGGTCAACACTTTTTAATAGAAGTGTATTTCCTATTGAATATTATCATTGGGTCCCTTACATGCTTTGCCCTTAACAAATACTTCTCTTACCAACTTCCTTAAGAACTTTACTAGTCTTGGTAATACAGAACCTCAAATAATATATTCGTGGCTAAAGAAGATACTACCTAACGCTAGATGAAATTGCAATACACATAAGGCCACATGTCTGCAACTATAGATTAGTCTCTTTTGAGAGAACTTTCGCTCAAATGGCTAACAGAAAGGGAAAAGATATAATCAATAGGAGCATTCCTCATCTCCTTTGGGATCAGAGATCTAAAAATGGTCAGGGAGCAGTTTATGATTAATGATAAAATACTTGGGAATAGAAATAGCGAGAACTGTTTTCCTTCTTGTGCTTCCCTAGAATGAGGCACTAAGACAACGAGCATGTAATACTATTCGACTGATTGGCCAAAAGACCTGAAGCTGGCCTACAATCACCTTGGAACAGGCACACGGCAGGGAAGGTGAAGGAATATATCCAGTACCTGTTGGGGTCCACAACACATGATGATAAAATGCATTCATTTGTTTCCTCTTAGGTACCCATAAGCACTGCATTTTGACAGTTTTCCTAAGACACTTAAAAGATAATATTCTCTTCCAGGTATATGGATTGTACATCCCACAGTGGTGGCAATTTCTTTTAAGTGCCCGAGAGCCAAACTTACCATATAAATAATTGGCAACACCTGAAAAGCAAGAAGAATGACAAACACAAAATAAGTGTTAAATTTTCATCCATTTGCTAGAAACAATACAGATATGTGTCAGCAAACATCACTGGAAAGAAAAAAAAAGCTCAAATTTTTACAACTGAAAGAGTAAGTATGAAAGAACTAAGAATAGTAATTACACACTTAAAGGAGTATCCCATTGCCAGTGATCTGTTGGAGTAACAATGTAAGCATCAATTAAAACAGCTACTGAATGCCAAACTAAAACTGATTCTAAAAGTTGATGGTAAGAAATAAGTTTAAAGAACCTGAGTAGTAAATAGTTACTGATTTAAACTGTCAATAAAGGATCAAACAAACACAATGCTCTACACCTGTATTCCCAGCACTGAGGAGGCTGAGGCCTGAGGATCAAGAGTTGAAGGCTAAGAGTGCTAAGAAAGAAAGGAAGGGAGGAAGAAATAAATTATGGCACTTGCAGGGAAATGGATTGATCTGGAAAGTATCACACTGAAAGAAGCCAGGCCCAGAAAGACAAAAGGATCATGTTTTCTATCATGTCGATCTTAGAACCCCAAAATAATTTTCCATGTAAACTGCACCAAGAGGTTATATATACACTCATATACACAATTTAGCTATCTAAAGTATAGAATATACTGTAGTGAACTCCTCAGAGTAAGTCTTTTTTTACAATTAACAGTTTAACAAAATCAGTATCAGGAAGCTGAAATGAGATTAGAAGGGAGGGGGAGGGAGTGGCAAGGACGCAAATGAATGAAAAAGGAAGTGGAGGACAAATACAGCAAGAATACTCAATGTGCACACATATGTGATCAAGGAAGCTGGAAATGTGGGATTTCCTACTCCTCCCCTCCCCCATCTGTGGTGAAGGAACAGATAGGAGAGAAGGAGTGACCCTGATCAAGAAACATGGACAATGCCACGTGCCAGTGCCTCATGCCAGTATAGCTAGCTATCAGGTGTCTGAGATCTAAGGATTTCAGTTCATATATAAAGCCTTCCCAGGAAGAAAAATGGAATGATTTTCATTTTGACTTAACCGGCACATAAAGCCAGAAGTGGAGCTGTGGCTCAAGTGGTAAAGTACCAGCCTTGTGTAAAAAAGCTAAAGGACAATGCCTTTGAGTACAAGCCCCAAGACCAGGAAAAAAAAAAAAAGAGTGCCGGACATTCAGATGGTCATATTAAATTATAATCCTCTTGTGCAACCTTTTAAAACCAAATCAAACAATCCAAAGCCATCAAAAACCTCACACTTAGATCTATGCAAAGGAAATCTGCATAAGGCCAACTGACCTGAAGTAGACATTTCTGTCCCCTTAGATGTTTTCGTTGCATGAAAACCCACAGTTGTCCTGGAACCAGGTGCATGGTGTGTTGCTGTAATACGAGCAGAGGTGAATCGCTGTGTGATTTGGAGACTCTTAGTCATGGGGACATGTGAAGTTGTGGACTTGTGTGCTGCTAGAGGCCTCTGTGTTAATGAAGCTTTTGCTGTGGTGACTCTGTGGGTTGGTGGTGTGGTCTGTGTAGCAGAAGCAGTCCTGTTGGGCTTGTGGCCTGCTAAAGGGGTGTTTGTAGGCAGAGTCTTTGGTATGAGGAATGTCTGAGCTGTTACCAGGGCCTTGGTGGCTGAATTGTTGGATGTAGTGGGATTCTGAGCAGCTGATGAGACTTTTGTATCTGAAATATTTACTATGGTGGGTCTTTGAGGAGGTGAAATTGTTGGAGTTGGTGAGTGTGCTTTTGTAGGTTTCTGAGGAGTTGG